AGAGCAAAATTGTTGGTTTTTGTAATTAAAAGAATTCACAACTTCCTTAATGAATGAGATGGAGTCATGAAATTTTTGCGAGTTGTATTAAAAATATGCCAATTTGGATGAATAAGCAGGACAAAATAGTTGTTGGCAGTTAAATTTGGAAATACTCAAAAATGAATAAAGTTGCGATTAAGTTTTAATTAAAGTCTCATAACTTCTTTAAAAATAGAATAGAAGTCTTGAAATATTCGGTAATTATACTAAAAGGGATGCAGATTTTAATATGACATACGAAATTATTAAAGATATTGAGATAAATAAGTTTTAATATAATAATTTGTAACATGTGGAAAATGAGTAAAATTGTTGGTTTTTGTAACTAAAAGAATTCACAACTTCCTTAATAAATGACATGGAGTCATGAAATTTATGTGAGTTGTATTAAAAATAATGGAGATTCTGATAGAGAATGCCAATTTGGATGAAGGAGCAATAAAAAATAGTTGTTGGCAGTTAAATTTAAGAATACCCAAAAATGGATGAAGTTGAGTTTGAGATTTAATTAAAAATTCATAACTTCTTTAAAAATAGAATAGAAGTCTTGAAATATTCAGTAATTACACTAAAAGGGATGCAGATTTCAATATGAAATACCAAATTAAAAAAAAAATGAGATAAAAAAGTTATAATGTAATACTTTGCAACATGTGGAAAATGAGCAAAATTGTTGGTTTTTGTAATTAAAAGAATTCACAACTTCCTTAATGAATGAGATGGAGTCATGAAATTTTTGTTAGTTGTATTGAAAATAATGTAGCTTCTGATATAGAATGTCAATTTAGATGAAGGAACAAGACAAAATAGTTATTGGCAGTTAAACTTAGAAATATCCAAAAACGAATAAAGTTGCCATTAAGTTTTAATTAAAAACTCATAACTTCTTTAAAAATAGAATAGAAGGCTTGAAATATTCGGTAACTATACGAAAAAGGATGCAGATTTTAATATGACATACGAAATTATTAAAGATATTGAGATAAATAAGTTTTAATGTAATAATTTGTAACATGTGGAAAATGAGCAAAATTGTTGGTTTTTGTAATTAAAAGAATTCACAACTTCCTTAATAAATGACATGAAGTCATGAAATTTATATGAATTGTATTAAAAACAATGGAGATTCTGATAGAGAATTCCAATTTGGATGAAGGAGCAATAAAAAATAGTTGTTGGCAGTTAAATTTAGGAATACCCAAAAATGAATGAAGTTGAGTTTGAGATTTAATTAAAAATTCATAACTTCTTTAAAAATAGAATAAAAGTCTTGAAATATTCGATAATTATACTAAAAGCGATGCAGATTTTAATATGACATACGAAATTATTAAAGAAATTGAGATAAAGAAAGTTATAATGTAATAATTTGCAACATGTGGAATATGAGCAAAATTGTTGGTTTTTGTAATTAAAAGAATTCACAACTTCCTTAATGAATGAGATGAAGTCATGAAATTTTTGCGAGTTGTATTAAAAATAATGTAGCTTCTGATAGAAAATACCAATTTGGATGAAGCAGCAAGACAAAATAGTTGTTGGCAGTTGAATTTAGAAATATCCAAAAATGAATAACGTTGCGATTGAGTTTTAATTAAAGACTCATAACTTCTTTAAAAATAGAATAGTAGTCTTGAAATATTCGGTAATTATACTAAAAGGGATGCAGAGTTTAATATGACATACGAAATTAAAAAAAAAATTGAGATAAAAAAGTTATAATGTAATAATTTGTAACATGTGGAAAATGAGCAAAATTGTTGGTTTTTGGTATTAAAGAATTCACAACTTTTTTTTTTGGTATCCTCAAAAATGGCGATTCCTATTTTATAAAAATAAAACCGTTCCTCAACTTTCCCCATTCAACCATAGGTGGAAATTTTACAAAACTTTAATTACTTTAATAATAATTTTCCAATAATTCTCCAAATTTTATTCAAGATTTTAGTAACAATTATAAATTTTTATTTTATATAAATATTAAATATAACTTTTATTAAAATTTGTTCTAAAACGTGCAGTCTAAGAAATGACGTTAAGACCAAGTTTTTGTTAGTAAGGGTATATAAGAAAACCCGGATATGCTTTCATTCTGAATTTTTCGTCAACGTGATAGTATCGATTGTGACAGAATAATTTGTTGGTTTCGACATCATTAAAAAATTTTATAATAAATTTTGAGTCGTGAAGACAAAACGCAAGATAGCGGATTAATTCACAATAATTAATTTTCTTCTGATAATAGTAATTATCATTTACGGAGTTTTCCGGAATTTTTTTTATCACGAAATAAAAATTTATTCGACGTAAAACCTCGTGGAAATTGAGGTAAGATTTTTGTCATTCTTGTTAAATAAAATCATTCATTATTCTTTTTGCTGAAACTTAATATTAACGCATAGAATTTTCATTTTTCAATATAGGCTTTTTTTTTTGTTCCACCATTTTCTCTGAGAGCAAATTATCATCCTCAAATTTAATCCACCGCCATCCAGAGGAATTAAAAGGCTGAGGATTCTGAGATCTTTCGATTTGAAGACGATACCATTAACGTCAGATCGATTTAACGTATTTTTATATATATATATATAAAATATATAATATTATAATATATCCCTCAGAAGTGGCTCACCCCTATATTTTTTTTTATTATTAGTGATATAAGAAAACTATTTGGAATGCATAATTAGGCCGTTATTAGGCCGGCATTACAAAATAAATTTTCTATTGCCTCACGCGTTTATTCGCGTTTTTCTTTTAAAACTAATTTAATACAACTGTTAACTTATACCATTATTAAAAAAGAACCACTGACTAAAGCATAACGTTAGCATAACTAAGCGTTACGTTTAGTAGTTTAGAAGGGTAGGTTGAAAGTACAAACAGGGTCAAAACATGCCCTATTATGAGTTAAACATATTCCCCAAATTTCATTTTCCTAGCGTTTATGGTTTTTGAGAAAAAAAAATGTACCCAAAATTTTCCGCCATTTTTAGAGGGGTGTAGCTCCTTAGGGGAGTCGAAGTCGCCCATAGTTCATATATCAAAGTACCCTTAAAATTCACTAAAGAATCACCCCTTGAAGTTTGTTGCAGTCATTCAGATACACTTTGTANAAAAATGGCGATTCCTATTTTATAAAAATAAAACCGTTCCTCAACTTTCCCCATTCAACCATAGGTGGAAATTTTACAAAACTTTAATTACTTTAATAATAATTTTCCAATAATTCTCCAAATTTTATTCAAGATTTTAGTAACAATTGTAAATTTTTATTTTATATAAATATTAAATATGAGTTTTATTAAAATTTGTTCTGAAACTCGCAATCCAAGAAATGACGTTAAGACCAAGTTTTTGTTAGTAAGGGTATATAAGAAAACCCGAATATGCTTTCATAACATTCTGGAATTCATTATTTGGAATGCATAATTAGGCCGTTAAAACGGATTATTACGACATGAAATCATTCTCTTTGTGCTTCCGGTTATATCGGAAATGAGTACTAATTTTGCTAGTTTCTTAAATCTATATTTTTTTTGTCTTCAGTTGAATAGACAGCATAATTTCACATAACTTTTACTTAAAAAAATTTTCACGATTGCTTCTAATTTTTGAAAAAAAATTATTTTCGTTATTTTTTTAGCGTTTTAGTACCTTCGGAAAATGTATTACAACTTTTGACGCATAGTAGCTAGGTTAATAGTATAAATTATGCTATGTTCCTCTTGATTTGCTATTTCTCGAGCAGGGGAGTCGAAGTCGCCCATAGTTCATATATCAAAGTACCCTTAAAATTCACTAAAGAATCACCCCTTGAAGTTTGTTGCAGTCATTCAGATACACCCTGTATATTTTTTTTATTGTAAAAAAGTTCTGTTTGATTGAAAGACAACATATCTATTATTTTTTATTATATTTTTTTCCATAGAATACAAACAGACTTTGTCAAAATAACAATATTATATAAATAGAATTTATAAAGAAAAACATTGTTTAACATTTTATACATTGTCACTTCTTAAATTTTTTTTTATAAATCATTACCTTACAGTATCTCAAAACATTTTCTTTGTTTTCCTTATACCGCCCTGAGAGTGTAGCAAAGTATTAAAAGTAGTAAATTTAAAAATACCAAAAAATGAATAATGTTGTGATTGAGTTTTAATTAAGATTTGATAACTTTTTTAAAAATAGAATAGAAGTCTTGAAATATTCGGTAATTGTACTAAACGGAATGCAGATTTCAATATAAATTACGAAATTACTAAAAAAGTTGAGATAAAAAAGTTATAATGTAATAATTAGCAACATGTGGAAAATGAGCAAAACTGTTGGTTTTTGTAGTTAAAAGAATTCACAACGTTTTTAATGAATGAGATGGAGTCATGAAATTTTTGTGAATTGTGTTAAAAATAATGGAGCTTCTGATAGAGAATACCAATTTGGATGAAAGAGCAAGACAAAATAGTTGTTGGCAGTTAAACTTAGGAATACCCAAAAATCGATGAAGTTGCGTTTGAGTTTAAATTAAAAACTCATAACTTCTTTAAAAATAGAATAGAATTCTTGAAATATTCGATAATTATACTACAAGTGATGCAGATTTCAATATGAAATACGAAATTAAAAAAAAAATCGATAAAAAAAGTTATAATGTATTAATTTGCAACATATGGAAAATGAGCAAAATTGTTGGTTTTTGGTATTAAAGAATTCACCACTTCCTTAATAATTTAGTTGGAACTATTAAATTTTTATGAGCTACATTAAAAAAAATGTAAATTCGGATAGAAAATGCCAATTTTGGTGTAGTCATGAAATCATGAACGAAATGATGTCAAGTAATTAGACTAAAAGGAATCTATGTTGATTTCAGTAATAAGTACGAAATTGTTAATGAAATTAATATAAAAAAGTTATAATGCGATTTTAAAAAGTGTTTAAATAAAACGCAGTTTAAATGCAATATTTTATTACATATACAATATAAGTTTTACAAGTAAATATTTACACAGTTAACATAAGTATATTCAAAAATCATTAATTTAATTCTATTCGATTTTAATCAACATTCGAATTATACAAACACACAATTTTAATTTAATAAATTTTTAATTAATTACAAACATTCCTCCTCTCGTACACAATAAACCTTGGTAACTTTAACAATATAAATAATTTATTTCCTCTCTCGGTTTTATTTGTGTTACTCTCATTCGATTTGTCATTCAGCTTTAGCGGCAAATTTAATTTATTTAGCATTATGTTACCTGTATCCCAAAAAAAAAAAAATTAAATAACAATTTTATTTCATTTAGCGATTTCCTATTTTGTATTGAACAAAGCAAATTTTTAACGGTTTTTATTCCCTTTTATTTCTCTTTTTTTTGTTATACAGGTTTCGAAAAATCGGCCTATAATGGTTCTTTTCAATATATTTTTTTGTTTTATTTTAAAAAATCCTCTTTTTTCGTATGGTATATAAAATAACAGCCTTCTTCGTGCGCGGGTTTTTGTTATTGGATGGAACATGTTGAGTTATGATCCACCATGTATTCACCACTCGAAAATTCTAAATCTTCTTCGAAATCAAAGTAATGGCACTGAAATAAAAAAATAAAATAATACAGTATTTTTCTTTTTTTGAATTATATTTAAAATAAGTTTTGTGTAAACTCTTGAGACCACGGAGAAAGCTGAAAGCTTCGAGAGAGGAAACTTACTTCCTCGAAGATAGACATAAGCCAACTCAAGGCCTGTCACGCGTTCTGGATAAAATTTAATGCAACGATGCCTCTCGGGGAGTTGCTGTCCGGGGATCGGGATATTGGAAAAGTTAACAGGATTCCTGGTTATTAAACGGGAAGGCATTCCGGGGCGTCGACGACGTCGTCGTGGGACTCCCGAGATCTTTCGCAGGATGCGCTCAGGATATATCAGACCAACTCGTGTTGTAAGACCTTCCAGTTACACGTCAACGCCGAATCTTTTCTCCTTTAAACTTATTTTTCTCTTTAACCAGTACGTTGTTGCGAAGTTTTCACCTTAAATTAAGATATGTAACTGGAAAGACTTTTCATTGATTTCATGTTGATGTTTTTGATAACAATTTGTGTAGGTTGCATGTTTTAACGAACGAAACTTTTAATGAGTAGCTTCATCATGGTGAACGTTTCGCTCATTAACCCGAAATAATTTACTCGGTGAGGCTGAGAAAAACGTTCCGACTCAATTTCGACAAAAGCGATAAAGCTCCAGGACAGCTTTAGGACTATAATATAGAGGAATAAATTAAGCGGATATCTAGTCAACGACGACGAAAGCCATTCTGGCGTCTGTTGGCCTCCTCGTCGTCGCGACGGCGACGCTTCACGTAATTAAAATGTAGACATAAACGACATTCCAGAGGACGCCGATTCTGACGACGGTACAGCGTAAACATCGCCTTCAAACTAAAGGTCCTTCTCTTCCTGATTAATGCAAATTAAGAACTTAATTTGATGCGAAAAAAAAATTTGATTACTAACCTGACATTCTATACATTTGCAATTATCGGTTTGAGAACAAGTAAGTCCCAAAATCGAAGCAGCTTCTTCGTATAGATCTATACTGTTTCGTCGACTTCTTTGCCCATTTTCCGGGTGTATAGAGCTGCAGATGTCGCTGCTACATCTGCTACCACTTCCGGATGGATTACCGCTACTTTCGGGGCAAGTTGTGACGGTGGATGTCGACGTCAGGTTCTGGTTAGAAACGCATTTGCTCAACTCCAAGTTCGATCTGCCGTCATCTGGCGTCGCAGTCTTTTTCGTTTTGTTGTGTATGAAGAACTGCAAAACAAGTGTAACATATGAAATATAAATCAAATTTATACGGATTTAAAAAACTTATTTCACTAAAATATATCGGTCAAATAATGGTTTTATGGAAACTCACTGGCGAATCGTCCAAATATGTAAATGTGCGGCAGAAACCGAGATGGACAATTTAACCCAGGGAAATGGTCCCATACATGGGAAATTGGGACACCCAGGGACGAGGAGACCAGGAAAATGGATGTCGGCGCGAAAGGAAAAAGGGACGGCGTTTATCGTTATCTAGCCATTTTTCACTTCGTTCGGCCTCGACCGCCTCCCGGTTTTACGTATGTGTGTGGGTATAGTCGATAAAACGAAATAAGCTCTTCTGACCGAAAATTGAGTCGGGAAAATCCGATTGAAGAATGGGAGATAAAACTTTATGGTAGTTTGAAGTTAGATTTCACTTAAAAAAATCATAAAAACACACTTCTTCATTAAATTTGCTTTAAAATACTTTTTATTTCAATTTCGAAATGTTAATTACATCCCAAGGAAAAGAAAATCGAAATAATCGAGAGATGTAACAAACAATCTTATAAAAACTTAAAATACAGTGCGTAAATATGATAGAATAGACATGTCCAAAAATAGGGCTATCGACTTTGGTCTTTCTGCCCGTGATATTATCGGATTAGCCATCAGTCTTCTCTATTTGGAAATATTCTCTGGTAGATTGTTAAATGGTTACTGTAGGAATGACGGTGATTCAGGAGTGATAACAAATGTTTCAAGAGGTTTAATGGAAAATTTGTGGAAACTAGGGGTGGATAAAGCTTGTAAGTGGGAATGGATAGGGGTAATTTTAGTAATGATATAAAGGAGTTCGTTACTATGATTAAATAATGGGTTATGAAGATGCAACTTTCTGTAACTTATAGGTAGTACTTAAATCCTATGGTCGCGTCTTGAAGTACAATCGATGCGTATACAATAATTGGTCTGCATATCACGTTATAAATGTGTGTAGTGAATTCAGTTGATAATCCGCAACGTCTGAATATTAGGGATTGAAAGTGCTTTGCGCGGTTCTTGACTTTCATCTTTACTTTGATGGTGCGATCAGAAAATTTAAGGGTAAAAATATTTGCAGGTTGATGTGGGAGAAATGGTGAATGATTAGATTGTTATTTCTGGAGAAGGAGTAATAAATTGAGATGAAAGGAACAAAAAACTGAGCTTTCGATGGCTTGACTTGTATACGCCATTTATAAAACCAGATTTCCGCGGGATCAATAAGAGCGACTGGTATTTTCGAACTGAAGTATAAATGTCCGGACCATGCGAGACCAAGGTTGTATCATATATCAAGCATATCATATGTCCCCAGGTTGAATACATTGAAGTATAGATGTCCAGACTATACAAGACCAGGGTTGTATCATATATCAAGCATATCAATATTTGTCCAGGTTGAATACATCTGGGTTATCGTTGTATATATCCTGACGAAAGATATTGTATATAGAAGGTGACATTGGAGATCCTTGTGGTAGGTCCCTATTTTAGGGCCTTCCACACACGATTGTAGTTTCAGCATTTTTAGCTTATACAAAAAGCCTTTGTGCCACATCGGATTGAAGAATAAATGAAGGAATGTAGATCTTTCCGGTAGAAAATCGAATTGATATTATGGTATCTTCTTTGAGACGGTAGTCAGCAGCCTGTTCTTAAGGTATGATTCAAAGAGTTTTCTTATTACTAGCAGCAGTGAAATGGGGTGGTAGTTTGCTGGCTCGCATAAAGAAGTGTTTCAATCTTGTTGGAGCTGTTGGCTTGTCAGAGAAAAATTTAATTTTTTTATGGTGTAAGACTGGATATCTAGATCCAGACTTCTTCTTTTTCTTGAGATATTATCATGTCTGAGGACTGTATTCGTTCCTTAGCTTAAAAGGGTGAAACAGTTGTTTTCTAATATAAAACCGTTCTAAATTGAAGAAAAAGTAGATTGATACCAGTCGTCTATAGTTCTTTTGTTGTTGGCGCAGAATAAAGCATCTTCNCTTGACTTGTATACGCTATTTATAAAACCAGATTTCCGCGGGATCAATAAGCGACTGGTATTTTCGAACTGAAGTATAAATGTCCGGACCATGCGAGACCAAGGTTGTATCATATATCAAGCATATCAATATGTCCCCAGGTTGAATACATTGAAGTATAGATGTCCAGACCATGCAAGACCAAGGTTGTATCTAGGGCTTGTAATACCGGACTAAAATCTCAATGCCGGTATTCGGTATTCAAAATTTTTAAAACCGGGATACCGGTATTGCTATAAAAAAGTTTACTCACTAAATTACAATCACTAAATATATCTAATTGTAAGATTTTTTTCCCCTCTGCGGCGCCACCTCCACTAACAACAGGTTAATTCGTACTATATTTTTAGATTGGCAACAAAGCATAAGATACAGAATCTGAGAAGATAATCAAAAACTGGAAAGATATTAGGAATCTGTACAAAGTACCAATAAACTTAAAGGTCTAGATATCATTATTGTTTTGATGTCTTTCACTTGGTCCAAAGGTTCAACATCTGAAGCTCTGTGGAATTCTTTCGAATTCCTGCTTTGAAATTTTCTGGAAAGGTGCAGATTCAAGAAAGAAGGTAGTTTGTCAGACTTATCATACCACTGTTATACTTGGTGAAACACTACACGAATCAAACTGACCTGAAACTGACCATTATGGAGTAAAAACTCCACATCCAAAAATAGTTGTATACAGAGGGTATTTTATTGTTGGCTAGGTATGACAAATTTATTGAACACGAACATTAAGTTGTCGTCATCAAAGGTTGAGTCTTCATTATCTTCAACATTCTGTCAGAATGCCAAATGATATTTCTTGCAGATGGTATTCACACTGATCAAAAAATGTCACTTGAAAAAATGAGGTTAGTAAGGACATGAGATAGATAACAAATTACTGTTTGGTCAACATCATTTTCCAGCACAGCTTTAAACACGGCCGTTTTCAATCGGTCGCCTTCGGCTAGAATTTTTTTAATGAAACGTCAAAAAATGTCACTTGAAAATGTAAACTTAGAACGGACAGAAGATAGATAACAAACAAGAATCCTCTACGTCATTTTCCAGCACAACTTCAAACTAGCACGGCCGTTTTCGAAGACATCGGCCGTCCCCTGGCCATCGAAGGCGCTAATTAAAGATAATACCGAAATACCGGTATTTTTCCATCGATACCGGTTTTTAATACTGGACAAAAATTGTCCGGGATTCCGGTTTTCGGGATCCCGGTATTGCAAGCTCTAGTTGTATCATATATCAAGCATATCAATATTTGTCCAGGTTGAATACATCTGGGTTATCGTTGTATATATCCTGACGAAAGATATTGTATATAGAAGGTGACATTGGAGATCCTTGTGGTAGGTCCCTATTTTAGGGCCTTCCACACACGATTGTAGTTTCAGCATTTTTAGCTTATATAGAAAGGCTTTGTGCCACATCGGATTGAAGAATAAATGAAGGAATGTAGATCTTTCCGGTAGAAAATCGAATTGATATTATGGTATCTTCTTTAAGACGGTAGTCAGCAGCCTGTTCTTAAGGTATGATTCAAAGAGTTTTCCTATTAATAGCAGCAGTGAAATGGGGCGGTAGTTTGCTGGCTCGCATAAAGAAGTGTTTCAATCTTGTTGTAGCTGTTGGCTTGTCAGAGAAAAATTTAATTTTTTATGGTGTAAGACTGGATACCTAGATCCAGACTTCTTCTTTTTCTTGAGATATTATCATGTCTGAGGACTGTATTCGTTCCTTGGCTTAAAAGGGTGAAACGGTTGTTTTCTTATATAAAAGCGTCCTAAATTGAAGAAAAAGCAGATTGATACCAGTCGTCTATAGTTCTTTTGTTGTTGGCGCAGAATAAAACATCTTCAGTGAACTGATATTATATTTTCAAGATAGTCAACATGCACATTAACAATTTTTTTCACCAGGATTATAATGCCTACAACTATCACTCTATCACTGGAATCAATAAGTTCTTGTGTTTTTTGCGATTTTTAGTATTTGGAGAATTTGCGAACTTTTTGATAAAAATCTTTCCCTTTATTTTGGTTGATGTTGTCGCAGGTTTTCTTGCACTTTTCCCTTCTGTATTACAGTACTAACTTTAAAATTTTTTATTAACCTCGTTAAACCTTCTCTTCAGCACAGGGATCTCTAACTCTATAAAGTAGCGCTATAATCTTCTTTTTTCTTTGATAAGGCTATTAATAATAGACGGCGGCAATGCTTTAATGTTCATATAATGCTTTTAATTTAATTCAAATAAAGCAATTATATGTGTGTTGAGATGAATTATTATTTACTTTACTACATATAAGATAACACGTTGTTTTGAGGTTATCGTTATCTGTCTAGTAACTTACGTCAATTATATTTTATACATCCTATACATCTAAAACTATTTTCTTCATTATACTTTTCAATTTCCTTCTTGTTCTTTTATGTCCTTTTTTTTTGTTCTTTCTGTTTATTAAGATTGGCCACCACGTTGATGATTATTTTTATATTGAAGGTTATTTTGAAAATCTGTGAAGTTAGCTGTATATTTTAAATTTAAATTATTATTATAATTGTGGAATGGTAAGGCAATTTATGTAAATAGGTTAGAATTGAAAAGGAATTATATCAGATGTAAGAAATTGAAAGGAAAGGGGTGTTGGTTGCCAAGGAACCCAGATTGTTGCGATTTTCAAGCTGCAACCGTGATTTCAATTCTCGTTCTTCTGGCGGTTTTCGAGGAGGGTTGTAGGGGGTTCGTAAATATGTGTATAGTGGCTTTGTGGTTGTTGTAATCCGATCATTAAGACATATCTCATCTGGATTGTTAAATTTGAACTTATTGATTTCATAGTTTTCAAGAGTTTCCATTAGGTTGCCTTTGTTCCTGTAGTGTATGATGAAAGAATTTTTATTTTCGTTGAATTGATGGTCGTTATT